TGGTGGATTCTTGTTTTTCCAGTGCCGCTAATGCCTTATTTGTTTTCTCCGCAATATTTTGCATTCTTTCAGCTCTACAAGCACCTGACAATAACAAACATAACTGTATACTAAGGTGCTTTTCCCTAACCTTAGGGATTCAACCTTGGTGAATGTGGCCTCTGAATAATTGGGGTTTTCCCCCAAACTGACTTTCTGAAAAATTTAAATATGCTTATGGAAGGTGATATGAATTTATAGCTAAGCCTTAAGTTACTCTCCTGTAGTTTTGTGAGAGCTGAGAGTTGTCTTTCCCCCAGGACACAGAATGTCCTTGGTGAAAAGGGCCGACGGATCCGAGAACTAACTGCTGTGGTTCAGAAAAGATTTGGCTTCCCTGAGGGCAATGTGGAGGTGGGTTCTAGTCCTGATTTAATGTGGTCCTTCTGTAAACTGTTGGGTTTTGGATTTACTTTCTAGTGGTCAGAGGATTTCACATTGAATGGAGGATAACAATTATATGCGTCTCTTATTTGTAGAAACATTCATTGGTGGGAGGGTAATGAATGAATTATCCTATGTGATTGATAGTAGGGGAAGGGTGCTCGTGTAACAACAAAAAATGGTGTGCATGTGCTGTTAAAAAAACAACTAAGATAACAATATTTAAGGGTTTGCGTTGCTTCTTTTAAAGCTTTATGCTGAAAAAGTGGCCACAAGAGGTCTGTGTGCCATTGCCCAGGCAGAATCTCTTCGTTACAAACTCCTAGGAGGGCTTGCTGTGCGGAGGTAAGTGTCTTGAAACTTTATGGTCATGTGAATGAACTCTGATGCTACTAACAGTAGGACAGTGCCTATTTGTGCCCAAGCCATGAGGAAAGACTGAAACCAAAGAGTGTTCATGGTTTTAATGGAGTTGTCGGTGATTTGAGAGTAGATCAGACTCTTAGTCAGGGGGACCAAGGTAAGCTTCTAGTTGATCTTGGTGAAGCTGTAGGTAACATTTGGGGAGATCTTCCTTTACTGGTAGGTTTAATGTTTATAGGTGGAAGTGCTTTGGTACTTAAAATGTGCTAGAAACTCATTGCTCTTGAGTTGGAACAGACTCATCACTGTCCCTCTATCATCAGGTTTTGGAGGCTGTACATGACATGAGGGGACTTTGCCCATATTTCTCCCTCAGAGCCGCTGGTGGGTTCAGCCCACCAAAGAGATGCCACATTGGGATTATTAGTACTGCAGGCTATGCTACCAGTGTTCCTCTTAGCACAGATAGATCCCACGAAATTCCTAAGCAGCACAGGTCAGTCAAATGAATGCTGCTCTCTTGCGAACTACAAAGAGATCGACGTAATTCTGCTATGAGAATATAAAAACCTTGACCAACATCATTACTATCTTAATGAGAATTTGTTAGGAACAGTTCTCAGTCTCTACTCCAGACTCTCTGAAACTTACCCTTTATTATTTCTGAGTTGAGTAAGCATCTAAAAACTTTTTTTAAAAAAACTGCATGTGCCAATCTCCACATTTTTGGAGTATGGCCCAGGCATTGAATTTGTGGTTGTTTCCTGGGTCAGATGTTGAAAAATCAGTAAAGCAGACTTTTTTTAACATGGGGAAGATAAATTCTGTCTTTTAATAATGTGAATGGGTCTTTTAGGGCTTGCTATGGTGTGCTACGGTTCATCATGGAGAGTGGGGCCAAGGGCTGTGAAGTTGTGGTCTCTGGGAAACTCCGAGGACAGAGAGCTAAGTCCATGAAATTTGTCGATGGCCTGATGATCCACAGTGGGGACCCTGTTAACTACTACGTTGACACAGCTGTGCGCCACGTGTTGCTCAGACAGGGTAAGCTGCTGGGAGTGCTTATGGGGAGGTGTGGGTGACTTTTTTTTTCCATGCAGATTTCCATATTTGGGACATTCAGTTTGGTTGTGTTGCTATCTTTGCCGGGGGTCTCTTGGTTAGTTGAATTAAACAGAATTGAATTGCTGAGGTCATTTATATTCAAGCATTTTCTTGTCCTTGTCTAGCCACCAGTGTACCCTTCAGTGATGACACGATGACGAGTCAGAATGGTCACTTCCTGCTCTTGGTCCTTGCCAGTGCCACGTTCTGTGGCCCTGATCATTGGTTCCTTTTGCAAAGGTGTCCTGTTCATTGGTTGATTTAGAGGCATTTGTCTGAGAAGGGACCAGCTATGGTGTGCTTGAGTAAGCAGTTTCTGTCCTGTTATGTAGAGTGATAGAAACCACTGTGAGATCCTAATTGTGGTGTCCTCCAGGTGTGCTGGGCATCAAAGTAAAGATCATGCTGCCCTGGGACCCAAGTGGAAAGATTGGCCCTAAAAAGCCCCTCCCTGACCACGTGAGCATTGTGGAGCCCAAAGACGAGATACTGCCTACCACCCCCATCTCCGAGCAGAAAGGTGGGAAGCCAGAGCCACCTGCTATGCCTCAGCCGGTCCCAACTGCATAATAGGTATGTATGTATGTATGCATGTGTATTTAATACTATAATAACTTTCCATTATTGGACTCCCTTTTCCAAGACATTCCACTTGGTAGTAATTAGCTGTTCTGTTCCTCAGCAGCCACCTAAAACTCAGTAACAAAATGCCTGTCTATGCATCTGGGTTTCTCCTTAGTTGTGAAAATCTACATGGGGATGTAGTTTAATAAATGAAGGATCTTGAAATCCAGGTGAAGTTACTTTTGTATTTTCTTTGCTTTCAGGGTCTCCTTGGCAACTGGATCTGAATTTTTGGAAGTTGCTTTGTAAAGACCTTTAATAAAATCTTTTTCAAAGACACCTGACCTGGCTTGACTGTTTATGGAAGGAGGCTGGCTGCCCATCTTCCTACAATCAGCAATTTGTGATTCTAACTGCTGACCTTTTGCTTAGCCTCAACAAGGCTAGGAACTATGCTAACTGTCTTCAAAGGACTTAGTATGCTTACACGGATGCCCAGTTTCATCAGTGTTGGTAAAATTGAGGCCTAACTTGGTATAATTGGTATGTTGATGACCTGTGTGATCTTTGTTCCACAGAGTGGAATGCTGTGTTTTTAAGTAGTATCGTATATCTAGAAACTAAAACCTAGATGAGTCTGAATGTATCCTTGTGGTGGAAAGCCATTTTCTGAGATAATCACTTTTCCAAGCCTAGGGAGATTTCTGAGAAGGTGGTGAGCACACTGGCATGTGTTGAACTTCATCTGTCACAGATCAGTGCTGTTGAATGACATGGTCTCTGTCCGTCTCTATAGAAGGCTCTGCAGTGGTGCCTGGGCACCATCTAGTTCTGTTCATCTTTGCTTTTCTCACCTTGTTCACGACAGAGCAGGACAATAGTTGCATCTTGGATGGCTGTACCAGTCATCACCTCCTAAAGTAAGATATAGAACCTGTCTGTGGACAGTTAGGCCAGTTGATGTTGCTGTTTCCCAAGACTAAGGGTCTTGGGCCCTAGAATGAATCACTCCTCCATGTGTTTATGATTAAGAATTGTCCTTAGCTTTGCCTTCTGTTTCTTTAATAGTTTTATTTTTGTTCTAAGTAACTTATTAAAGCAAGGAAACACTGCATTGTTCAAAATATAGGAAAGGAGTGTGTCGGGGATGCATCCTGTCTCCTTTTAAATTTATGCAGAACAGATAATGCAAGAGGCTGGATTTCATGAGGAGGAATGTGGGATCAGGACTGGAGAAAGACTCCACAACCTGCATTACACAGACCTTGCTTGTTGAAACTGAGAAGGAAGGACCTGAGGCATTGCTGCAGAGGGTCAAGGACTATAATCTTAAATATGGGTCGAAGCTCAACAGATTCTCACCACTGGGCCAATTGGCACCATCATGATGGATGAAGAAGAGCTTGAGGTTAACGATTTCTGCTTTCTTGGCTCTATAATCCGCACTCTTGGCACCAGCAGTCAGGAAATAAAGGACAAACTGCATTGGGAAAGTCCTGTTCGAGAACTCTAAAATGCTAAAGAGCAATAATGTCAATTTAGTGACTTAATGGAGCACCTGATCAGGCTACCGTCTTTGTAAGATTAAGGATGACAAGAGAATTGATGCCTTTGCGTTTTAGTGCTGGAGAAGAGTATTGAACATACCATAGATCACCAGGAGAACAAATAATGTCTGTTATAGGGTAAAGCCGGATTTTTCCTTGAAGGCAAGATTTTGAAGCTCATTCTCACATACTTTGGAAATGTGGCCAGAAGGGACCAGTCCTTGGAGAAGGACATCATGCTTAAATGATGGTGGGACAGTGCAGGAAAGGAAGATTCCAGATAAGATGGATTGTTAACAGTAATGAGTATTAAGTGTGTTAGTCAGTGGAACTGGTTCAGGATAGGGCAGGGTTCAGAGCTATTGTACATAGGGTTGTGTGAGTCACAGATGGTACATAACATTTGAGCATATCAGGAGACATACTTGGAAAAGTGAAGGATAAGTAAAAGAACTTCAAGATGGTATGACAAGGTTACTGTATCAGTGGATTCGTGCATGGCAGAAATCAAGATGGTATAAGAGTTGGTCATAGGATTGCTATGAACAGTGAGTCATAAGATGACTCAATAAAATTTCCTGGCTCCAGAAAGTCTGGCCCGTGAAAATTCTGTTCTGCATTTCTCCCTATTTGAGTCAGTCCAAATATTCAGTAGTAAGCTGGTTCTGCTTTCATGGTAATGGGGAAAATTCTACATGGAGCCAACTACCTATTGCATTTCCTTATTCTTGACATGTTTTGATACCATTTTCTAAACCAGCTCTTAATTTGTATTTCAGAAATAATTGGCAGCAAGTTAAGCACTCTACCCATGTGAAAAAGAGCAAAATAATAGTCAAGCTCTAAAGTCCAGTTTTGCAGACTCCATTTTACAAGGGTTTTTGTTGGGATTTTTTTTTTAATGCTCCCATATGATAAGACTGTCACAAGGATTTTAATTAGCTTATGCGGCAATGCATGATTCCTTTCTGAATTTAACAGTTACAGTAATATGGGATCCTAGGCTGTAAGACACTTATTCCAGACCCTTATTTTTACAAATAAGATAAAAGCCCCAGTAGCTCTGAAATTCAAATGAAACTGTGCCCCTTCCTGTGGAATGTTGGTGTTAAACCGAAATGTTGGCTTGCCAGGTGAAGTGGGGTCTGTCCACCAAGCAGAGTACTGCTCTGAGGGGATTCATCCTGACTTGCCTTTAAGCCCTCCCTTTCCTGCTTCCCATGCCTGTGCCTCAGTCCTGTGTATTTAGGTTCACCAGGGAAAGAGTCAACATTGATCATCTGGGCCTGCTAACCCCATCTTTTTAAAGTCATTTTACAAATAATTTGCAGAACTAAGATCAAAGGAATAGTGAGTAGCTGCTATAAACATTGTCTTAAATCAGTACACTAAAATCACTAAGTTCTGTACAAGGTCAGTAGACTTGGACTTTATAGGTTTTTATATATAATATCCAAACAAATTATTCCTTGGAAGCTTATTTCCCACTCTCGGAAATATTGATGCTTTTGAATCAGTACCAACTCGTAGCTGACCCTCCAGTGGGTTTTTAGAAGCTATAAATTGCGCAAGAGGTTGCCCATCTTCCTCAGAGTAGCTGGTGGGTTTACACTTCCAGAGAGGCACTGCCTTTGGTTTAGCAGCACAACTCTCCATGGATTAGACCATCAAAGTGACCCAAAACTTAGAGGTATCATAGATATATAAGGGAGCTTTAATGGCCTAGTGGCAAGCTGCACTGCAATCCTGAAGGTGTGTGGTTCAGATCTTCCGCTGGAGAAGGAAGACCAATCTCCTGTGCTAGTCGAATCTGATTCAATAGCACACATCAGCAACAAAAAAAGAATGTCTAGTACCTTAGAGGTGAGGAATAGCACTGCCGTCACAAAGGTATACAGTTTGAATCAACCATCTGCTCTGAGGGAGAAAGATGGACAACCTCCATGTGAAAACCCACCAGATCAGCTCCAATTTGACGGTACATAACACCATACACCTAGAGTGAGCATTGTCCTTTGTGTCAAAATGCTCATCAGCATGGAGCTGAACACATCTTTTAGCTAATTCCAAATTTCAGCACTTTTAGTAGATTCTAGCTTGCCTTTTTATTTACTTGTATTGTCAAAACTCGATAATTTTGATAGCTTATAACTTACTGACACGGTAACAGCCATTTTCTTAGCTCCATACAAAGTTTGTTTTGGATTTTTTTTTTTTGTTTTGGATTTCTAAATACCAACTAGAATGACAGCCTAGTGAACTCTGCATTTCTGCTTCACCTTTTAAAATAACCCTTATGTGCATTATCTTTGGCATGTCTTTATAAACTACCAAGTACATTTTGGTTCACAGGTATCATGAAGCAGTATTTTTAAACCATGTGCTAATGTGACAGGATGGTCCAGTTCTTCTCAAGAAATTCCTGTTGAATGACTTAACTGGATGAAAACACTACATTCCCTTTTTGTCTTTTTAGAAATACATTGTTCACTTACCAATTTTAAATTTGAGAAAAGTACACGTTTATTGCTGTGTTATTTACAATAGCAAAGAGTTGGAAGCAACCTTAAGAGTCCATCAACAAACAAATGTGTAGAAAAACTAGGATACATTCACACAGTGGGATATTAGGCATCATTTTAAAAAGCCTCAAAACAACCTAGGGAGGAGCCTGAAGGACATTATGCTGAGTTAAATAGTCACAGAAGGACAAAGAATGATTTAACAAAATAGGACAAACATTGAGGGAGTTGGGGAGAGAATGGGAAAAGTGGATAGATCATGAACCTGCATTAGCACAGATGAGGGGGAGAACTGTTTGAAGAATATAGGACAACAATCAGGAATGAGGGTGCATTGCAGGGTGGATTGTGGGGAAGGAGGAAGAAAATGCAACAATGGAAAATATTTTGCGAAAGTTCACAATCTAAGATTTTGCCTGTTTGATGGATTTATTTGACATTTAAGATGCTATTTCTTTGCATTTGTTTTCTTTTGTCATGAGTGGGAACAATCTTGATAATAAAAATGAAAAAAAAAAACCCCAATAATCTGTACACTGGGAAACAACTGAAAAATTACTGTTTTAAAAACTTATTGCTGCTGTGTCCATGCCAGCTCACTAGCAACCCTCCGCTGAGTTTCCAAGGCTGTGAATCTATAGGACTAAATTGCCTCTGTCCCTGTTTGTCCCATGGAGCAACTAAGATTGGAACTGCTGACCTACAAGTTTGCAGGACACTAAGAAGCCACCAGCACACCTTGGATGATGAAATTGTGTACCATTGAGTTGGAACTGATTCTTCTGTGGGTTTTAATCACAAGAGAGGAGACTGCCTCATCTTTCTCCCATGGAGCAGCTGGTGGATTGTGAACTTTGAGGCCTCTCTAGATAACTGAGGAGCAGTGATGTTGGTTTGAGGACTAAGGTGCATCTGATTCGGACCATGTTCTCTTCAGTCACTTGCAGTGTTGTGTAGAGTTGGACAGTGAAGGGTGACAAAATAAAAATGCTTTTGAACTGTGGTGTTGGAGAATATTGACTATCCCATGGACTGTAGCAAAGGGCTTGAGTGAGAATGGCACAGGATAGGACAGGGTTCAGATCTGTTCATAGAATTCCTCTAAGACATACTTGATGGCCCCTAACAACAGCCACCTTTGGGTTGCCAACTCCTTACTACTAGGCCACAGAGCTCATGCTGTATTTCCCTGTTTCCTCTTCTTTCTGAGCAATTCCATCATTACTATTATTGTTCCATTTAGTCTGGAATCATTGATGAAATACATAAAACTTGAGGATGAGTTATGTACTCCAAAATATTTAGAAAAATAAGATCAAATTCCTATAATGTATCAAGAGTTAGAAAAGGATACCCTCGATCCATACACTGATGACAAAACAAGTTGTATTTTATTTCTATTTTTTTAAAAAATACCTTTTCTCATTTTTGGAAGACTGCTACTAAAGAGCAGTGTTGCATTAAAGTGCCATCAAGTCGACTGTGACTCTGACCCATAGTGACCCTGTGAATGATGGATATGAACCCTGTCCTATATCCTGCGCCATCATCACCTCTGATACACTTGAGCCCATTGTTAAACTGTCCATTTTGTTAGGGGTCTCTTTTGCTGAGCCTCCACTTTTCTAAGCATGATGTTGTTTTCCAAGGACTGGCTTTCTATAGCTCAAGAGCAATTGCCACACAATATCTATCCTTATTTATAGTTAGAACTACTCAAAACTAACCTTGGGACCAGTGATCCTGGTTTTCTGCAGAGTGGTCTTTGGTGGGCCAGGGGTTGACTGGCCCTCCTGCTGGTTCGAGGGTCAGTGCTCCTGATTTTGGATTCTTACTGCACAATGATAGCCCCACCCTCATTCCCACTGTCAAAAGTGCAATGGAATACGAGCAAAGTCTCCCCAATACAGAGACCCTCCATACTTCATCTCAATCTAACCAATCAGGAATCCCAGGAGATTACACTTGCTAGCACCTTTTGTTTCTGTGTCTTCATTCATTAACCATTCAGCCATAACTGTGTTTCACTATGGCAGTGACAGTCTTACCACATCAGGCTGGGATTTCCCAAGGTGGATAAATTAGCATTATCAGATTAGCAGAGCCTGAGTAAAACAGCATAGAGAACAAGTTTAGAGCCAGGTGGACCACTCACCAGCTGGTAACCTTGAGCGAGACACTTCTCAACTCTGAGTCTCTGTCGTTTGTAAAGAGGGGCAATGTTACTCTTCTGATTGAAAAAGCCTTTCTTGGTGTCTTCCGTGGGAAGCCTTGTGCAGAGCTCTAGAGAGGGTGGTGGGGCAGATGCTTTTCCTTCCTCAAAGGTTATCCTACATGCTACCAGGAAACCAGATGAGTCTCACAGAAAGGCCTAGGCATGTAGGTGATGGAAGAGGGGCACAAGATAAGGGGTCAGCCTGGCCTAGCAGACAAACAGGAAATGGCCTCTACGCATGCACAAATGTGCACTGGGAATGCAGTGGCAGGAGATGGGGTGCTCTGGCACTTATGAGGTACCCATTTCCTTAGAGACAGTTTGCTCTGGTTTCATCCCCATCTTTTGCACCAGGCTTTTACCTGAGGAGCAAGCAGTAGTGGCACTTTCCTTGTTCAACCTGGATGTTAGCCTTGGGGGCAGGCAAGCTCAGAGGGACTGGGGCTCTGCCCACATCCTTCTTCCTTCTGCCATTATCAGTTATGTCCAGATGGTCACGGGCTCCCTAATCTGGGATAATCATCAAGCCAGAGCCAACTGGGACAGGGGCCTTTGTGCTGGGCTGTGATGGGCCAGCCCCAGCTGGGAAGCCCACAGACAAGGCCCTGGGGCTTTGGGTGAAGGGAGGGCTGTCGGCTGGCCCAGCGCTGGAGGGAGCAGATGACAGCGCCTCTTCAAAAGGCAATCTGAGTGCAAATGAGAGGGAGCCCACAGATGGGGTCTGGTCAGCTCCTGCGGGCAAGTGGGTGTGGGAGCCACAGGCACAGAATGTGAATCACTGGGCTTCAGACTCAGAATATGGCATCTTTTGTTTGCTCTCTTTTCTAAACTCACCCCTTTCTCTGCAGTTCTGTGTTGCTGACTGTGGTGTTCGTATGCTGAGCCTGCTTGCAAGCCTCACGGCTCACAACTATTTCATTCTGTTATGTCTCAGCCTCTTAACCTGAGTGGAGTAGTACCACCTTGACCTGAGCTTATTTGGAACTTTATTTCCAACCCTTTTACACAATGAAAGGAGCCCTGAGTGGTACAGACAGTTAAGTGCTGAGCTGCTAATTGCTAAGGCTGGCAGTTTGAGTCCATCTACAGGTGCCTTAGAAGAAAGGTCTGGCCATCTGCTTCTGAAAGATTACAGCCCTGAAAATCCTAGAGTGTAGTCCTACTCTGCGTGCTCGGTTACACTGTGGGGTTTGAGCCCCAGGACCAGCTTCCTTCTTCACTATTGTGCATTTATTTTGTTCCTGGTACTCAGATAGGTTTGCTCATTTATGGGCCTATGTCTACTTAGTTTCATATTTGATTTTTTTTAAAAAATTTTATTCTTAAACTTTATAGAAATATATACACTCTTGGAGTGCATGAAATATTTCTATTTTAAAAGAAATGCCCATGCTATTGTGAAGGTAAATGATGCAGTGTATGAAAATGCATTGAAAGGGTAAAAGCAGGGAGCAGATACTGGAGATTACTTCCCCAGGCAGAGCAAGCCTTGGCTGGAACACTGACCCAAATTTTGAATGAAGTTTTATTTTTTAAGAAAAAGCGGGCTTTGCGGGGTTGGGGGGAATCATAGGGATGCACAATTCTGGGTGGAGGGAGAAGTGAGTAAAGGAAATGGGAAAGATCCAATGTGAAAATCAGTGTATACAAACTTTGTAAGTAAATCGGTATAAAATAAAAATTTTATTTAAAAGAGAAGGAGGCTTATAAGTTAAGGATTATTTACATGGAGGGACCTTGAAGGGCACACACCACGGTGTCACTTCCTGCATCCCCTCTCAGCTTCCTGGTTGAGGCCATCTGACTCTGAGTCACCTGGCTAAGCTCTGGACGATGGTGACACAGCCATGGGAGCTGGTGCAGCGCTGCAGGGATAGCTGGGCCTCCACCTGCCCACTGCTGGGGTCAAAGGTGAAGGCCCTATCGGTGCTCTCCCCATGCCTGTCACGCCCGCCAAGGATGTGGATTTTCCCATCACACACAGTCACACCACAGCTCTCCTAAGTAGACAGACAGACAGATGGTCAGCCCTCAAGTCCTGCCTGGGGCACTCCCTGTCCTAACTAACCAGGCCAGATAATAGAACCTTGGCCACAGAATATAAGCAAACTGTCTGGATGATAGTGCATTTAAGAAAGGAGAAGGACCTGAGTTCAGACTCCAGTCTGATCTCTTACTAAGCAAATGGCTTTGACAAGTCATTTCACATCTCTAGGCTTCGGTGTCCTTATCTGCAAAAGGAGAATGGTAGTAGCTTCTCCATAAGGTTCCTATAACTGTTAATGGAACTGATTAACTTTGCATAGTTCATGGAACATAGTAAACACTCCAATAACAATAATTATCATCATCATTTTAGGATAACTGAAGGCCAAAATTGTTGGGACTTCAACTCAACCATACAGTCTCTCTGGAGTTTCAGGGAAGGGCAGGGGAGACAAAGTTACGGTGATACAGAACTGCAGGGGGCAGAGTGTCAAGAGCTTGGATCCTCCTTCTCTGATGTCACCAGGGCAAGGGAACTTGGTTGGTCTCCTTACCCTGAACCAAACAATGAGTCACCAGCTGGTGGCCAGAGATGTCAAGGTCATTTAGCCCAAATCCTATACCCAAGACTATAGTACTAGGGACTAAGTTTCCAGATTCTATTCTAATATGGACTATTGGGTGACCTTAGACCAAGAATAGGTCCCCCTTCTGTGAAACACAAGATCAGTAATCACTGCAGACACACTTAGACAACTAAAAAACCACCCAGTATGGAGTTAGACCCTTAGAAGTATGTTTTCACATGCTTCATAAAACCAGTGCCAGGGAGCACGCCCACGGACTCTCCTTACCAGAGGGTTGGGTAGGACAGCTGCCTCCCCCCAGACATCTCTGCCAGGGTCATAGGTGAAGATTTTGCTCATGAGGCCTCCCACCACATAGATGGTGTCCTCAAGGGTGACAGCCTCAAGACACCTCTGTGAGAAAGGGGCTGGTGATTTCAGGCTCCATTGTTCCTCCTTGGGATCAAAACATTGCACCTGAAGAGTGGGGAGAGCCACAGAGAAATGGGGACTTTAAGTTAAAGGCTATTTACATGGACCTTGAAGGGGACATAGTGGAACTCTTGCATCTCCCTCCCACTCAACCTCTGGCTCAGGCCGTCCAACCCTGAGTCACCTGCCCAGACTCTAGAGTGTGGTGAACTTTATCCTCCAACCTATGCTGCTGCACACACTCTGCCCCTTCTCACTGCTAAGGGCACTTTAACACATTTGCCTGATCCAGGCGTGAACTAGCATCTGGGAGAGTGAAGGTGACTCCTGGTTCCTATTCTCAAGAGCTCTCACTCAGGTTCACAATTTTGTCCCCTGCTACTGGACTCTGTCAAGCCTCCTTGTCCTTCAGAGTTACCTCACCCTTAAAGCTTGCCTTGCTTCTTTTCTACCTTCCACCCTTCTTTCCAGGGGTCTCCTTTCAGGGAGAAAACAATCTATATCATATAAGATTAACCACATGAGCAGACAATATCAACCTTGGGGAGGAGTGAGTCCTGCATGACAGAATCACCATCTGCATCAGCACTAATAAGGGTCCTCAGAGCAGGTGCCCAGGGAGCTGCTTCCCTGGGTTTACAAATGGTCAATGCTCTTTCTTCGAAGTACTCTGTTTCTGACAAGCTTTTGGCCAAGGTTTTCCTACATTTTTATAGCTATCTGAAGGCCTCCCAGCCCCCTTTTACACTCCATGGTTTCCAGGGTTTGTACTTGTGTCTAGCTGATTGATGACACCCCGTTTCCTTGGAAACTGTCAAGGCAGCAAGTGCTGCATGGAACCATTTCAATAATCGGTCACCCAGCTGCTTCTCCCACCCAACTTCCTTAAAGCCAGCTAAAGGAGTCGGATGGAGGAATGACTAAGGTGGGGTGAGGGCTCCTGTTTGGGGGGAATATTTAGGCCACAGGACCTCAGGTCTGGAGAATCAGCAAATGGAGGGAACTCCTATGACAGATTTTTATTTTTGAAAAATCCAAATGTCTAACAATGGAGACCCAAAGCATGACTAGTAGGCTGTGGTTGGTCCACTGGATCAATATACAATGAAATGATGGCTAAGAAGAGTTCCTACAGGTGTAGGAGGTACTTATATGTCAATGTGAAGAATGTAAAAGTATATTAATATGAGAACCCTCGAGTCGGTCGATCCATAGCTGACCCTCCAGCAAGTTTTCAGAGGTAATCTCTCCTGTGATTAACTGCCTATGAAACTAGGCCTCCAGAGCTATTCAAATATACAAGTAGAAAAGCAAAAATCCATTCACAGGAAGCCTAAAAGGCAATGCACTGAAATATTAACAGCAGTTATTTTAGGTGATAGGGTTATAGATTCCCCCCCTTTCTACTCTCCGTGTTTTCTAACCTTTTATGTTGTTGTGTGCTGTTGACTCAGAACCAAGGGTGCTCATTTTTTGAAAAATTAATAGTTTCCCCCATACGCGGATTCTCCACAGACCTGAGGTCCTGGGACCTAAATTTTTCCCAAACCAGGAGCTCTCACCCCTCCTTTCTTTCTCCTTGATCCCACTCCTTCAGCTGCTTTAGGGAAGTTGGGTGGGAGAAGCAGCATTTGGTTTACCAGTGGATCATATACAATGAAATGATGGCTAAGAACAGTTCCTACAGGTGTGGAAGGTATTTCAACATGAAGAATGTAAAAAGTATATTAATGTGAGAACCCTCGAGTCTGGACGAGCCATAGCTGACCCTCCAGTGGGTTTTCACAGGCAGTAAATTGTACGGGAGGACACTGAGTGTATTATTTGGATGGAGGAAAAACATTTTAACTAATGCATTTTAACCCTTGCCCTCAGTTAATTTTTAAAATCTGAGACCCACTGTGGCATCAGCCCAAACACTGGAGACCAGCTGTGCTGCGCCCGCTGCGTGTGACCCTGGAGTCACCGCTGTAAACTCATTTCCTGGCCTGAAGGTCCGGGTAAATCCTCTGGGCTGTGGAGGAGATTGAGTGAGAAAATGGACAAGGGCAGGGGAGCGGCGGTTCTCCGCCTGCGGGATGCCCACCTTGTCGGTGTTGGTGCCGTCCGGGCCTGCGCCCCCGATCACGAACAGCTGCCCGGCGCAGGGCGCCACCGCCGCCGAGCTCACCGCCTCCGGGAGCGGCGCCAACGCGCTCCAGGTGTTGGAGAAGGGGTCGTAGCGCTCCACACTGCGCAGGCGCCGCAGGCCGTCAAAGCCGCCCACCGCGAACAGCTGCAGCAAAGGACCAGAGCAGTGGGCCCAATTCAGCCTCCCACGGAGCTCAGTCCCATCGCCCCGGAAAAAAGCTACCTTCCACCCCAGTTTAGGGTTCGAAAAGCCAATCCCTGAACTGCCACCATCTAGGCCATCTCCACCAAATTACTCATCTTCCCTAAACCAAGGTTAATGGGACCTGTCTGGTAGGACGGGCTTTTGAATGTAGATGATATCTGTAAAATACCTGGCACTGAATTGATGCTTAATAATACCAAAGTCAAATGTGTTATGCTCAAGTTCATTAGGACTCATAGCGACCCTCCTTATCAGAGTAGAACTGCTCCACTGGATTTCCAAGACTGTAAACTTTACCAGAGGGGATTGCCACAATCTTTCTTCCCAGAGGCTTATGAGTTCAACCGCAGACCTTTGTAGCATTAAGCAGCGAGCAGCTAAAACACTGTGCCATAATAATAATAATAATAATAATAATAATAATA